GCCCCCCCTTCATGCCAGGACCTGCCATCAGGGGCCTTTCCCCCTGTTTGCCTCTTGGGTCTCCCTACTCTTCAGGGTCTCTCGCCTTGGTCCCTCTCTTGGGGTTACTTGGTCATCAGGGGCTGGCTTGCCCTTGAGGGGGGCCTTCCATCCTCTGGCCATTCCAATAACTATAGGGTCTCTGGGGGGACTTTCTTCTCATCAGGGTCTCCTCGCCCTCAGGGGCCTTCCATCCTGTGGGGTCATCTCTATTGACAGTCAGACCTCAGGGGGGACTTCCATAGATGTCACGTGCTGGCCTGCCAGTTCCTCAGCTGGCTCCGCCTCCCTGGGTCCTGTTGCTGGTCCTGGTCCTGCTAGGCCAGCCATCGACCTGCTTCTCTATGAACGGGGTGGAGCATCCCTTGGCAGGGTCTCTCCTGTAACAGCCATCCGGTTGTTAACCAAGCCCCTTCTGTATAGAGGGCTGGGTGGCTAGTAGTGTCTCTGTTCTCTCAGCTGCTTAACCAATTCCCTTTCCACAAAGGCATTTGTACTCATTTTTTCTGCTCCTAGGCTTGAATCCCCCTGGGGTCCCTTCCACAGTCTGGCTGTCTTGTTCCAGGCTTATTATCCAATCCCCTCTCTCTCTTAGGTCTATCTCCTGTCCGTTGGGCCTCTGTATTGAGGTCTTGTAGTCCTCTTGGGGTCACCCCCTCTTAGTTCCATCATCACGATGGAGCGAGAGGCGCCAGGAGGCCCATGCTCTGTTCCATATTTGGGTTTATAGATCCACTCCTAACTTTGGTCCTAAGGAGGCGGTGGTTCTCCAGGGTCCTTACTCATTCCCTCCCGGACTAACTCAGCCCCTCAGTTGGGCATTTCTGTTGCATTTCCATGCATAATTTCATGCCAAATTCTTATTTTATTTTCTGTTTGTCAGTTTGTGCCCACCAAACTACAATCAATTTCAAATTGTGTTAAGCCCTGCGTACAGGGCAGCCTTGCCGGCCAGAGCAAGCCTTCACATCTCCTTAATGCATACTATGATACTACTGTCCCACTTTGCTGATTCATAGTCACAGTTGAAGTCTCTCTGGGCCTGCTACTTATATCTATCTAGTGGGGCCGGTCACAGTATCTCCTTTTGTGCTCTCTAGAGTGTGAGTCCTCGAATCCTCTCTCTCCTCCTTGTGTCAGAGGGTATGTCCCCCTACTTACAGCCGCAACTCTTGTTGCTATTGTCCATCAGTAATCAGTATTCCCTACTGTGTCCTTCCCCAGCCCTTTCTGTCTCTCTGTGCTAAGTTCATATTAATAACTTCACTTCAGGGTGGAGGTCAGTTGTAATGGTGGCAGTCGTGTCATTAATAATCATGGTCTCTAATTCAGCCTCTAAGTTCCACTCCCACTGCTCTTCTGGTGCAGGGAGGCTTGGACTTCTTGCCCTAGCTGTCGCAAGCGAATCCTCTCTGGGTTCCTAATGGCTAGGCATTCAACATATGTAGCTACACAATATAGTTTGTCTTAGGGGTCACACAGTTCAATTTAGCTGCCATTTCAGTGGTGATTATTCAGAATCACACTCAGCATCCTCGTTTTAATGTATTTGGGTGGTCCTCCCAGTTTCCACTGTTTTGTTCCATTTCAGCTACAAGCACCTGTACTCGGTACAGTATTATTCAGTCTCCTTCACAGTAAGAGGTTTAGTGTATCCTCACTCCAGAGCAAAACTCCTTCATTTAATGTGACTTGCGTGGTCCATCTCTTCACACTCAAGAGGGGCCATGCCTGTTATTCCAGAACTGTGCATTGGGCTATGGTCATTTTTAGCTGGGAGGCTTGAAATCTTACTGTCAAGCTCTGTCTCTCCCATCCACTCTGTTCATTCCTGGATGTCAATACGGTTACAGCCCTGAGGGCTTTTGTTGCTGGGTCAGTGAAGTTGGTCTGGTCAAGTCCAGCATAGAAGCTTCCAATGGCCCAGGTCCGTATCTGATGTCAGGTCAAATTCTAGCTTACTCCAGGCCAAGCTTACGGGCCACCCCCTGGTGCCATGCCTGGTTCAGTTAACAGTAGCCAATCATGTGCACACACATTAACTGGGTCCCATATTGACGATGCTCCTCCCGTGGAGTCTCTTCTCAGGGGATCTGGTTGATGTCGTACAGCACAATTCAGTGTCACGGTTAGACCATGGACTTTGGTGTGGCCTTTCTATCAGTCATGCTTCCCTGGCACTTCAGTGCTGGAGCCTTGCAATGCCACTATGGTTAATAATTTAAAGCGGGACTCTATTCCCCTGTCTGCATGATTGAGACCTCATTGTGCTTTTAAGGCCGGGTTAATCACTCCTGGTCTCAATTAGAGTTATATTCTCCTCTGACTTTGTCTGCTCTGTCATTTAAATATCTTTAACCATGTTTACCTTACTATAAATCTGAGCAGTGGTAAGGTTGTAAAGCATCTACTTCTATCAAACTTTGCCCGGTGTGTGATACTTCTGGGTCATTAGTTGGTCTCTGTTCACTAGGTTAATTTGCTTTGCCACTTGCTTAGGTTTTAACCCTGCCTAGCTGGTCATTATTGCCTTGCTCCCCTTTTACACTTGGCTTCTCAGAGCCCCATATCCAACCAATCCTCTTTACCAACAACCAACACTTCCCTTTGGGGCCTTGGGGCATTAAGTCCTGCCCTGCGGTCAGCCCTAATCAATATTCCTGCATGCCAATAACCACAGCCATTTGCCTCAAACATTAATCCCTAAACAGTGTCATGCCTTACTTACAGCTGTCTTAGCCTGGCTGCCCCTTCAACTCGGTACCCCGGCTTACACCAGGCCCTCAGGGGTCTTACAACCCCAAAGCTCTACCCGGGGTTACACTGGGTCCTAGTGGGGTCATCGTTCAGGGGCAGCAAGGGCAAATCCCTGAGTATGTAAGGCATATTATCAAGGGATTTAGAGGTAAAGCTGGCTTTATGGCTTCATGAGGATATTGGGCGGGCTAAGGGGTGGGCTTACTGCCCTCACATAGGTCACACCTCTCACTGAAGCGGTGGGCCTTA